AGGGACAAGGGACAGGGGACAAGGGACAGGGGATGGGGACAGGGGACAAGGGACGGGGACAAGGGACAAGGGACAAGGGATGGGGACAGGGGACAAGGAATGGAGACAGGGGACAAGGGACAGGGGAGAAGGGACAAGGGACAGGAGACAGAGGACAAGGGACAGGGGAGAAGGGACAGGGGCCAGGGGATGGGGACAGGGGACAAGGGACAGGGGACAAGGGACAGGGGAGAAGGGACAAGGGATGGAAACAAGGGGACAAGGGACAGGGGATAAGGGACAAGGGATGGAAACAGGGGACAAGGGACAGGGAACAGGGACAAGGGACAAGGGATGGGGACAGGGGACAAGGGACAGGGGACAAGGGATGGGGACAGGGGACAAGGGACAGGGGACACGGGACAAGGGATGGGGACAGGGGACAAGGGACAGGGGATAAGGGACAAGGGACAAGGGATGGGGACAGGGACAAGGGATGGGGACAGGGACAAGGGACAAGGGATGGAAACAAGGGGACAAGGGACAGGGGATAAGGGACAAGGGATGGGGACAGGTGACAAGGGACAGGGGATAAGGGACAAGGGACAGGAGACAGAGGACAAGGGACAGGGGACAGGGACAAGGGATGGAAACAAGGGGACAAGGGACAGGGGATGGGGACAAGGGGACAAGGGACAGGGGAGAAGGGACAAGGGACTGGGGACAAGGGACAGGTGACAAGGGACAGGGGATGGAGAAGGGACAGGGGACAAGGGATGGGGACAGGGGACAAGGGACAGGGGAGAAGGGACAAGGGACTGGGGACAAGGGACAGGGGATGGAGACAGGGGACAAGGGATGGGGACAGGGACAAGGGATGGGGACAAGGGGACAAGGGACAGGGGATAAGGGACAAGGGACAAGGGATGGGGACAGGGGACAGGAACAAGGGACAAGTGACACTGGACAAGGGGACAAGGGACAAGGGACAGGAGACAAGGGACAAGGGATGGGGACAGGGGACAAGGGACAGGGGAGAAGTGACAGTGGACAAGGCACAGGGGACAAGGGACAGGGGATGGAAACAGGGGACAAGGGACAGGGAACAGGGACAAGGGACAAGGGACAAGGGATGGAAACAGGGGACAAGGGACAGGGGACAAGGGACAGGGGATAAGGGACAAGGGGACAAGGGACAGGGGATAAGGGACAAGGGACAAGTGACAGGGCACAGGGGACAAGGGGACAAGTGACAGCGACAAGGGGACAAAGGCAGGTGACAAGGGATAGGTGACAAGGGACAGGGGATAAGGGACAAGGGACAAGTGACAGGGCACAGGGGACAAGGGGACAAGTGACAGCGACAAGGGGACAAAGGCAGGTGACAAGGGATAGGTGACAAGGGACAGGGGACAAGCCACAATGGA